CTTTTTGGTGTATGCAACATGGAGGATATTTACTGACAGATTATTGACCTCAATCATTTAATAGAATGTTATTTTAATTATTGATGTTTTTGGTGTGATAAAATATAATTACCAAATAAGTTTGTCAATAATTTATAGTTTTTTTATGAATTGTTATTAAATTTAATGCGATAGTATTGATATAAATAGAGTTAAGTTGCACGGGTATGTTTTACTTTGTTATATTTCAAATACTTTTAGATATTACAACTACTATATAATATATCTGAATAATATTAAGTAAAAATGTCTTGAAATTTATAGCATTTACATTAAAGAATGATTATATTAATCCTATGTATAATTTTGAATGATATTATGACGAAAAAAACTTCAAAAGATAACTCTTTTATTTTCCGTAAGAGTGACTAAATTGTTAATTTTTTATAAAAGGAAAAGTTTTAAAAACATTAATTAGAAAATTATATTAAAATATTATAAAATGTAAATATAAATTTTTGACCTAAAAATATTTGAAATATAACAAAGTAAAACATAACTTAAAACATATTTGAAACATAACAAAGTAAAACATATTTGAAATATAACAAGGTTAAACATATTCTCATATTGGCTTTTGAAGCTAAAACATGTAAAACTTTTCATTTCGGTATATAATGTTTGGTACAATGGTAGTGGATGTCTATACAAATCATCAAGATTGATGTTGTTTTCCACCTCCTAATTCAACATTCGAAATCCCCAAAAACTAAATGAAAGGAGCATTAGAAAGTTCAAACACTTGATGATGACCACGCATACCAACTTTCTCTAGCTCTTCAAATGCATTTATGGTCTCTATGTCAAACCCACCTGCAAATTGAAAATTCTGATTGTTGGTAAAAGAGATGATGAAAACGAAAGGATTTAACAATGTGTTTGAGTTTGAGTTTACCTGGTGTATTTTATAGGAAAAATCGAACTCCTTGGAGCATCAGACTCTCTTCTTGTTCTTGCGAACATTCGTTAATGAACTTCAACTCCTTGCTTATTCTTTTCATGTATTCCTTCGCAAGCCTCAGTGAACTTAGTTTCATCTGCTTACAGTCAACATTTCTTACTAATTTGAGTAGCTATAAAAAATTTCACATTATTGGTAAGACATTTATATCAGTTAAAATTTTCATGAATTGGTTTATAGTAAATTTAATTTGTAAGCTATGTGTTACCTACCTGGCCAATGAGTCCTGTATCAAACATCCATTCCCATGGGATCTGAAAATCCCTGTATCTTTTACTGCTGCTTTCTCTCATTCTTTCTGTGTTGTTAACACTTTTCTCCAACCTGCAAGTTCCATATTTATTCATGCAATAATATTAATTTATACTATCAAATTTCATCACTAAGTTACAGTAATTCTGTTTTTACATGCTCGCCTGTCTTGAAATGATTGCATCCTTCTTGTTGCCTGAGCCAAAGACTCTGTGTGGTTGTCCTCAAATGATGAAACCTCAGTTTCAAGGTTCTTCAAGTCTCTGTGATTGAAAGCAGCTTCTCTTAAAAAGCATCTGCTTTTCATTCTGGCCATTGTGGGAAGTGCTTCAAGACCGCCCTTTCATCAACCAAGGACGATAGTTCCCCATCTAGCCATTTAACAAATGTCTCCACATCTGATATCTCTGAAAAGCTTGCTGATTCCACCTCTTTGATCAAGAAATGTATGAACTCTTTTTGTTTTTTGACATCATATTTTATTTGTGTATCAATGTGCATATTGTCAAAGAAGGTAATCATATTTGCAAAACAAAAGAGAAAAACTCAATGAAACGATAAGATACTGTTACACTTATAGCTAAGAGATAGCTTGAGCGGTTCTCAATCTCTCCAATCATGTTCTTGCTACTGGTGTACCTCCACTTGAGTCATTCCACTGCTCCACTANCGTTTCAACTCCTTGCTTATTCTTTTCATGTATTCCTTCGCAAGCCTCAGTGAACTTAGTTTCATCTGCTTACAGTCAACATTTCTTACTAATTTGAGTAGCTATAAAAAATTTCACATTATTGGTAAGACATTTATATCAGTTAAAATGGTTTATAGTAAATTTAATTTGTAAGCTATGTGTTACCTACCTGGCCAATGAGTCCTGTATCAAACATCCATTCCCATGGGATCTGAAAATCCCTGTATCTTTTACTGCTGCTTTCTCTCATTCTTTCTGTGTTGTTAACACTTTTCTCCAACCTGCAAGTTCCATATTTATTCATGCAATAATATTAATTTATACTATCAAATTTCATCACTAAGTTACAGTAATTCAGTTTTTACATGCTCGCCTGTCTTGAAATGATTGCATCCTTCTTGTTGCCTGAGCCAAAGACTCTGTGTGGTTGTCCTCAAATGATGAAACCTCAGTTTCAAGGTTCTTCAAGTCTCTGTAATTGAAAGCAGCTTCTCTTAAAAAGCATCTGCTTTTCGTTCTGGCCATTGTGGGAAGTACTTCAAGACTGCCCTTTCATCAACCAAGGACGGACGATAGTTACCCATCTAGCCATTTAACAAATGTCTCCACATCTGATATCTCTGAAAAGCTTGCTGATTCCACCTCTCTGATCAAGAAATGTATGAACTCTTTTTGTTTTTTGACATCATATTTTATTTGTGTATCAATGTGCATATTGTCAAAGAAGGTAATCATATTTGCAAAACAAAAGAGAAAAACTCAATGAAACGATAAGATACTGTTACACTTATAGCTAAGAGATAGCTTGAGCGGTTCTCAATCTCTCCAATCATGTTCTTGCTACTGGTGTACCTCCACTTGAGTCATTCCACTGCTCCACTAAGTCAGCTTCATTGGCGCTGTTTTTTACAGAGAACATGAGCTGCATAATCCAGAAATCAAGTCACAATCCACTCTTGGCATAAATAATAAATCAACAATCACAAAATCCAGGAAATTCATCAATTTAGTATCCCGTTTGAGGTAACAAAAATCATGCTCAGATTAAGAAAAATAGCAAATACAAAATCAATTTAGTATCTCGTTTGCATCTCACCTCCATGCCAAAAAAGATCTTTGAAAAATCAAGGAAGAATTCAACTACACTTTCAATATATATTATACATAGCCAGAAGAATAATCCATTGCTGTGATCCAAAACATTCTTTTTATGTAAAACATGATAAAAGACAGCCAACATTAAGTCAATTGGAAATTAAAAAATTGCACGACATGGCATCTCTAATGTAACTCAATTGTGTCTGTGTCTTAAACTGCGAATTGCAACGCTTAAACTTACCTTAACTGAGATCATCAGCACCATAATAGCAGCTTGTAGTAAGATAGCATTCCTCCGTTGGCATACGTACAAACACACAATAATGCACATAAGAAATGACGGCTTCGGAATATTACAAACTCTGGAACAGAATTATGTAAGACTCTTTATCAAGATTGCTTTATGTTTCTCCTAAAAAAGATTTGTGGAATATAGAAACATCTAGTTCCAGTACCATACTACAGCCAATTAAACAATAGCCTACAAACTTTGTTCAGCAGAAATTTAAAAAAAAAAAAAAAAATTAGTAAGGAAAATGCTAAAGATGAAGAAAAAAATTGCATAATGCACTTCTACATTCTGGATATTAAGATATCTTTCCACATCATAATTTAAAAACAATATATAGCACTAAAACAAGACGCTAATACTGTTAACACTGACCCTACAGCAAAGATATCCATAGATGGCTTTAAAGGAGCATCTTGTGCGACTTGCATCTCACCTCCATGCTCATAAAATCTCTGAAAAATCAAGGAAGAATTCAACTACACTGTCAATATATATTATACATAACCAGAAGAATAATCCATCATTGTAATCCAAAACATTCTTTTTATGTAAAACATGCTAAAAGACAGCCAGCATTAAGTCAAGTGGAAATACAAAAATTGCACGACATGGCATATCTAATGTAGCGCAACTTTGTCTCAGTCTTAAACTGTGAATTGCAGCACTTAAATGTACCTTAAATGAGATCATCATCACCATGATAGTAGCTTGCAGTAAGATATCATTCCTCCGTTGGCATACCTACAGACACACAATAATGCACATAAGAAATGAAGGCTTCTGAATATTACTGACTCTGGAACAGAAATCTGTAAGACTCTTAATCAAGATTGCTTTATGTTTCTCCTAAAAAAGATTTGTGGAATATAGAAACATCTAGTTCCAGTAACATACTACAGAATGAATAAGGAAAATGCTAAAGATGAAGAAGACAAAGAAAAAAATTGTATAATGCACTTCTACATTTTGGATATCAAGATATCTTTCCACATCATAATTTAAATACAATATATAGCACTAAGACAGAGACGCTAATACTGTCAACACTCCAACAGATTCTGACATAAGTAATTTCGTGTGCAACAGTGGCCTAAGGAGGCCCCATAAAAACTAAATATTATTCACTAATTTAGAGTCTTCGCAAACATTTCTATCAATCTCCATCTACNCACTTGAGTCATTCCACTGCTCCACTAAGCTTCATTTGCTATTTTTGAAAGAGAACATGAGCTGCATAATCCAGAAATCAAGTCACAATCCACTCTTGGCATAAATAATAAATCAACAATCATAAAATCCAGGAAATTCATCAATTTAGTATCCCGTTTGAGGTAATGAAAATCATGCTCAGATTAAGAAAAATAGCAAATACAAAATCAATTTAGTATCCTGTTTGCATCTCACCTTCATGCTAAAAAGATCTCTGAAAAATCAAGGAAGAATTCAACTACACTTTCAATATATATTTTACTTAGCCAGAATAATAATCCATCTCTGTAATCCAAAACATTCTTTTTATGTAAAACATGCTAAATTACAGCCAACATTAAGTCAAGTGGAAATTAAAAAACTGCACGACATGGCATCTCTAATGTAACTCAATTGTGTCTGTGTCTTAAACTGCGAATTGCAACGCTTAACTGTACCTTAACTGAGATCATCAGCATCATAATAGCAGCTTGCAGTAAGATATCATTCCTCCGTTGGCATACCTACAAACACACAATAATGCACATAAGAAATGACGGCTTCGGAATATTACAAACTCTGGAACAGAATTATGTAAGACTCTTAATCAAGATTGCTTTATGTTTCTCCTAAAAAAGATTTGTTGAATATAGAAACATCTAGTTCTACTACCATACTACAGCCAATCAAACAATAGCCTACAAACTTTGTTCAGCAGAAATTAAAAAAAAATGAGTAAGGAAAATGCTAAAGACGAAGAAGATGAAGAAAAAAATTGCATAATGCACTTCTACATTTTGGATATCAAGATATCTTTCCACATCATAATTTAAATACAATATATAGCTCTAAGACATTGACTCTAATACTTTTAACACTCACCCTACAGCAAAGATATCCATAGATGGCTTTAAAGGAGCATCTTGTGCGACTTGCATCTCACCTCCATGCTCATAAAATCTCTGAAAAATCAAGGAAGAATTCAACTCCACTGTCAATATATATTATACATAGCCAGAAGAATAATCCATCATTGTAATCCAAAACATTCTTTTTATGTAAAACATGCTAAAAGACAGCCAGCATTAGGTCAAGTGGAAATTCAAAAATTGCACGACATGGCATCTAATGTAACTCAACTGTGTCTCAGTCTTAAACTGCGAATTGCAGCACTTAAATGTACCTTAACTGAGATCATCAGCACCATGATAGCAGCTTGCAGTAAGATATCATTCCTCCGTTGGCATACCTATAGACACACAATAATGCACATAAGAAATGACGACTTCTGAATATTACTGACTCTGGAACAGAAATCTGTAAGACTCTTAATCAAGATTGCTTTATGTTTCTCCTAAAAAAGATTTGTGGAATATAGAAACATCTAGTTCCAGTACCACACTACAGACAATTAAACAATAGCCTACAAACTTTGTTCAGCAGAAATTAAAAAAAAATGAATAAGGAAAATGCTAAAGACGAAGAAGATGAAGAAAAAAAATGCATAATGCACTTCTACATTTTGGATATCCAAGATATCTTTCCACATCCTAATTTAACATACAATATATAGCACTAAGACAGAGCGCTAATACTGTCAGCACCCAAACAGATTCTAATAAGCAATTTCGTTGTGCAACCAGTGGCTAAGGAGGGCCCCAAAAAAACTAAATATTATTCACTAATTTAGAGTCTTCGCAAACATTTATCAATCTCCATATACCACATAATTAAAACAATATATAGCACTAAGACAGAGACGCTAATACTGTTAACACACCAAAGAATTCTAACATAAGCAATTTGTGTGCAACTGTGACCTAAGAGGCCCCATCAAAACTAAAAATATTCACTAATTTAGAGTCTTCGCAAACATTTCTATCAATCTCCATCTACCATTGGCCTATGGACACCGCCTTTAAGGAGTGGTCTGAGTGTGTAGTTAAAACATGGGCCTAGGTTAGGTATGAATAAACATTTAAGATTAAATAAAATAATAATAATAATAATAATAATAAGAGCAATAAAACAAAGACTCACTCACCTGATCTAAATAAAAATCCGAGTAGTGGCAAGAGGGCTTGCCTCACTTTGCGTTCTCTGGAGGTCATTGATAGATTAGATCGTAACCCTGAAACCCAGAATATACAAAGGTATCACATTCACTGCCATACAGTAAATGTTAATTTAATTTTAACATAGTATTAGATAACAACATAAAACGAAAACCCAATTGACACAATAGAAATAAATCAACTAAAAAAGCTGAAAAAGAAATTGAAATATTTAAATCTTTGTAAGAAGCAACAAAGAACCTGATCTAGCAAATACTAACTCAAAATATGGTCTCACCAGACAAGTTTTATGGCATTCCAAATATTCAAAGGTCAACACTTGGTCAATACATGTATGCCATTGATAGAAAATCTATACTACCCAAAAGGCCAAATCATGACATCAAGCAAAAGTGGCTGAACATTTTTATCATTCATCTTCCAGAATATCATAACATACGTTTGTATAATCAAACAAAAATGTATCCCTTATTGTTTCTCTCATTACACAGAGGTTACTCAAGAAAAAGTGTTGCAGGTTTTATAAATATACTAAGTTGCAGAACAGTAGAAACTGTAGTTTGAATGAACATAAGACAATAGCATAACAGCAAACACACAATCTGAGCAAAAACCTACAGCAACAACAAAGTTCACATATGAACATAGTAGTCACCTCTCCCTTCTTAATGTCAAAATGAACTTTATCTATACATTTCCAAGCTCGAAATAATCTTCTCATTTCCAAAAGCAGTAAAACAATGAATTATCAAATTGGCCTTTCAATATTATTCACCTTCATCCACAAAAACTCAGATCACTATGATCATTTAGAACCAGATTTATTGCTTAAAAAGCCCGTTGAAATTGTGCAAGGTAAAAAACATTTCTGACAAAAAAGTAATATAAAGTAATACAATATTTTTTCTCGCCTTACCCACTCCTGCAGTCATTGTTTGTAAAATTCAGAGCATAATAAACAAACTAAGAATTAAGGATATTCTCACTATCAGATTATATAATTTTCTTTACCATAATCAATACAAGAAAGAATCCACATAACCCTAATCTTTCAAATGAACTCAAAATACCTGATAACTAAAATAGCATAATCAAAAGAACAATAAAATATACGGAATACAGCAGAGCAATGAATTCGTACAAAATTTGAGGCAATAAATTAGACAATTACAAGCAAAACACATCAAATAATTCAGGTATGTTTCGCAAGTTCATACACGATAATAATCACAATGTTTCTGGTAAAAAATAGATTATTACCTTGTAAACGCACTCACCAGCACCCATGCAACAACGACAATTAACATATCAACATAGGATTGCACTAAAATATAATTGGGACAAAAAATAAAAAATAAAAGCTAAAGCTAATTTCTCCCAGGAATTCTATCTGGATATTTCTCTCTAATTCTTTCAGCCTCGGCACGTCTTTTTTCTGCAGACACAATCCGTATTAGTTACACAAGCGATCAAAAATAATTAACCAATCCATTAGAAGATTCTTGTAACAGAAAATAATCATCAACGACTTACGAAAATCATGCTCTATCTTGAAGGTACTTTTAGTCATCTTTGCCAATTGAACTGCAGAACAACTATGAAACTATCTTAATAAAAAGTAACAAAGTTTCAATCAACAACAAAACCGAGCAAAAATGTGTCAAATCAGATCAAGTTAAACAATAACGAAACCCTAATATCAAAATTCGAAAGGGAATAACAAAAAGAATCCAGAGCAATTACCAAACGCGCTGTTTGTCGCTAATAAACTTAAATAATTGATAATTCAATTTCTAGAAACTGAAAGACGAAATCCGATTATCGAATCAGTTGCGGAATTATCTTCGTTCTGCAACCAAGCAGACTAAGAAATAGAAAATGTAAGAAGATGAAATTAAAGAGACGATGGATTAAATTGAAAAGCAATGATATATAGCTTTGTCTTGCAGATGCCGGATGCTGAATAGGAATAGACTAACTTTATTTAGACCTTTGAATCTCGATACAATGTAGCTGTATAATTTTTATCAAAACATATTCAATATATCAAAATAAGTATTACAAAGGAAATAAGTATTACACCTTTGTAATACTTATTTTGATATATTGAATATGTATTAATAAAAATAAAAAAGTATTTTTATTAATTTTTAAATATAAAAAATATAATTTTTATTCAAATCTAATAGACTACTTAAATTGAATGAAGATGTTCTTTATTTTCAAAAAAGATACTTAATGGGAGAGAGAAATAATAAATAAAATATATAGAAAATTGTAATTTATTAATTAAAATTAGGATAGAGAATAAAATTTGACTCTGTAGATGTGGAGAGTCAAACTAACTCTTTAATTTATATTTTAAAGATAAAGAATTTGTTGGACTTTTATTTTTATGGATAAACTCGGTCATATAAAAAGTCTTTTAAAAATACTCTTAGAGGTGGAAAAGTGGCTCGACCCAACTGGGTTAGTGCAAATTACGAGTCAAGCCTAACACGGCCTAGCCCACCTCTTTGTTCAAAAGGGTCAGCCCAGCCCAGCCTGTCAACCCTAACTCAATGGGTTTTGTGCAGGTCGGCCTGGCCCGGCAAAAAATTATTATTTTTAATTTTTTTCTTTTGTGTAATTTTTTTAGTTAACTTTTCAAATATCAATTCAATTCAATTATATTTTTAATTAAATTGATATTTTTTAACACACACATTATTTAAGTTTTAGATTAAAACATTTCCCTTATAATTTCAAGGTTTACTTTAAAAAAAATGATTCTTTTTTCATTTCACTTCAATTTTTTTTCTCTCTTTTACATAATTGAATATTTTGGTTATAGATTAAAAATATGTTTTTTTGCCAATTTTTTCACGTCTAGGATTAATATTTCTAATTTTATATTTCTTTCAGTGACTTCAATATTAATGAATTAATGTTGATAACATCGAGAGTAGAACTAAGGATAGATTTCTTAACTTCACAAATAAATAATTAAACATCCGTCGAAAATAGAACAATCTGATGAAGTTTAAGAATTACGTTTTTTTTAAAAGACTTTAAAATCAACTAATTAATATAATAATATCGAGAGTATAACACTCACACGTAGATTTAGTGACTTCAAAAAGCAGCTAATTAATGTCGATAGAGGGTAGAACAATTTAAAGAAGTCTAATAATTAAGTGTTTTTGAAAAGACTTTAAAATCAACTATATATTGTTGTTCACCGAAGTAAAACGTAATGACAAATCTTGAACACATACATAAATTTGTCATTGTATATTTTGTTTAAGTTTTAGGTTAAAATTTTATCTGGTATATATATATATTAATTTAGAATAAGACATGTCAATCTCAAGCTTTTGAAGGATTTTTACTAATCAACTGTTGACTATAGCATCAAGAGACAAAAGAGAATCAAAGTAGAAACCTTTTTTTTCTTTTAATGTTTTATTTGTTGGATTGATTCTATTTTTGGTCATTTTATTATTTGATTTAATATTTATTTCTAATTGCGGATGGTTTAATTAAGGCTTCAACTACTCCCCCTCACGCCTGCATTTATTTGTTAACTAGGTGAAAGTCTTACGCGTCGCGCAGGTTGCTTATGAAAGCGGCTTTGACACCATGTTTGTTTGAATAATTGAACATTTCAATTTATTGATATCTATTATAGAGATATATACATTATATAGGTCGAAAATAATCTATTGAACCTCTTAATTATGTTAGTTATAAATTATAGAATATACTGACATAATTAATAAATTATACAATATAAATAGTATCCTAAGAATGATAAAAATAATATATTAGAAAATATTTGTGATAGTATTTAATTTAATGTTCAATTAATAATTAAAGTAATAAATTATAAAGAAATTAAGAATAACAATTTGATATAAATATTACATGTCAATGTATACCCATTTAATCCAAATAAATAATATTAAATTGTACAATTAATATTATTTGAACCGATGTTCATTGACAAAGTTTTAATGTTGAACCGACAGTCCAACCGTTTTTGCTTGAAAATCGGGTTAATATGCCCAAAAAGTTAACTAATTATTTAAAACACATCTTCAAATATTTATTTGATAATTGTGCTGAACCAGAAGTGGCTCTTTAAAATTTTGATGTACATGTGTTCCATAAGAAGGTTACGACCATAAATTTTATTGCATGATTTGTTAGGTGATGCCGAACATAATTTTTTTGCAATATTGTTTGACATATTATGAATGGTGTTGCCGAACCATGATAATGTGTATAATCCATATTGATGTGTTTTAAGCTCATTAGCCAAAATTAATTGTTAATAGTTCACAATTTGATGTATGTGGTTCATTATCAAATATCAAATAAATATTAAATAGGCTACCGAACCACCATATTGATGTATGTTGTGGCGAAACCATAGCCTAAACACATCTTCATTTCCCACTATATTTTAACAATATTATCCCTTGTATGATAGTATTGTCACGCATATCTCACAAAAATTTGCTGTAGAAGTAAATTGAGAACCCAACCAACAACTCAATGTTAATCATTTTATAAAGATTTAATGATTTGTTTCAAGATCTTGATAATATGTCATTCTCTTGGTTTTATTTTCTCTCTTTGGATAGGTACACTAACATATTTCCTCATTTATTATTTATGCATTATTGTTTGTAATGACTGTAGACTTCATATCACATTTTCCACCTATTATATATGTTTACCTTAGTGTAGGAAAAACTAAAACAGCTTAATGCTGCTTGTTAATATAAGTTTTCCTCTAGCTACCTGCATTATTAGGAGCAGTCAAACCTATAAGCCTTGCAGAAGTTGAGCGGTGAGGGACAGGGGATGGATTCGCCATCCATCCAGTAAGAGAAGTCGGAAGAGCAACAGGATTAGGGGGAAATGGCTGGAAGAATACAATTTAAAGTTAAATTTCCAGACAGTCAGAGTCCAAGTTAGCTCAATCACCTAAAACCTTCAAAAATTTTCACTTGCACCATGAGCACTCAATGGTGGAAAACCTCCAGGCTTTGGAACGACACCCATTAAAGAATTGGTAACGCGAGACGGGGCTCAAGCACTGTTTGCCTATCCACAACTGTGGTCTACAAATACGGTCTATATGTCAGGATTAGGACTTGGATTCTTACGTAGCTAATGCTGCCAATTTAAACTGCAATTCAAATGCTAATAAAAGTGAACATCTTCAATTAAAAGCAATAAACGAAAGCACATACAAATCAATGATCACCCATCAAAATAAAGCCCTAGAACAACAAAAAATTCAAATTAATAAAAAATTACCTGTTAAGGAATCCATTACATTACTGAGTATGAATTCAATTAAATGTTCCAAAACAAAAAAGAACTCTGACAGCTGCTTCCCAATTAAACTCCTAATCAATGTATAAAGGTTTAATGATTGATGAAAATAAAAGTGGAGAGAAAGTAATTGAAAGGTATAGATATTTAATGTGAATGAATGAATTCAAAATGATTGATAAGTTATGAATAAGTGTACTTTGAATGAATTCAAAATGATTTGATATGTTAATAGAAACAATAAGATCGAACAAAGAAAAAAGTTTTGAGCAGTAACGGACAAAGTCCCACTGTTGTAGTTCAAATGATTATGACACAACTAAAATGTATCAAAATCAGCTAATCATATGGCACCAAAAGCACATTAAAATCGACCTACTGTCAACGGTCTCAGTAATATTACTAGCATCCAATTTAGCCCACCACGGATCCAAGTCATCTGCCTAAAGGGTCCGCTAACCTGAACACATAATATGATACATTAAATTTGAATGCTTCGTAAAGACTACAAATGATGTAAATTAATTCATACAGAAAACTCAAATTCATAATAGCCTCCAGCTGACTTGGTTTGGAGTGTTAAAGAAGTTCCATGAAATCAAAGTGTTGATTCAGAAATTTGCATCAACCAGAGAATTCTGATCAACCTTGATGGGACCAGAATGGATGTACACGTGATTACGGGTAACTAGCGTTAGACAAATATTAAGTGCAATAAAATAAATGGCAATGAGAATTTTTAAAGTGGTTCGGTGAGGTAAACTCTTGAGCATATGTCCACTGTTTTTTGTATTTGTTGTGAGAGCTTACAATAAAAATTTTGTGTCAAAGTCGTAACCCATTTTTCATCATTTGTGGGGGTTTATATACAATGTTTGTATAACGGAAAAAGCGAAAATAAAGGGATTACAATTGATCTGAACTGCAATTCTAATATTCTTGCGATTGGACGTTTAGATTACACAAAGATTGATGTTGATTTGGTCATTCCCGCAATATCTGGGATATGAAGATATCTGGGAATTGATTGAATGATCATTTGAGTTGTTCGTGACTAGCTTATGTTGGGTCAAGCTATGTGTTGACGAGCTTGTGTTGGGTCGGACAATTGGTGGAGTCGGACTTGTCTTGGGTCGAGCTATATTCTTGTCATAGCTCAAGCTTGGTGGAGAAATCACACAACATCTACCCCCTAGTGTTTGATGCTCGTTTCGAGCTTCAAAGACTATTGCTCAATTTGACACCAAGCTCGGTATCACCAACAAGTCTCCGGATGCAAGTTCAGTTGAGCTCCCGATGTCGACCTCATGTCCGGTCGACGTGCTTCACACTTGTTTACTTCCCTTGATACTTTCCAAACTCAGAACATGAAAAGTTAGGGCAAAAACATAATTTCCAAGCGGTCATGTCGCATTAAATGCGGTAGCCTTTATCAGTCACGCTTCGTTGCACGTGGGCGACTACAATTGTCCATGCGCGAAGTCGAGCGACGTACGATGATGGTTGTCAGTGTAACAGTCTGACGGTTCGTCGCCCTTCGTGGATGGATGATGTGTGGTCACATCTAAGGGCTGAGATTGCTCGATGAATGAAGGGTCAAGATTCACTATAGATCGATGGCTACAATTAAACCCCACCTTTTTGTCTTCCATGCAAACCACTATAAAAGGT